TAGAGAATTTTACGTTTTTGCCCCAAGATTTTTCGCAAGCTGAATCCCTGTTTGTAGGCCAATGCAAAAACGTTACGATCAAGTTTGAAACCTGGAATGTACATTTTCAGACAAGACCCCACTTTATTTGAATGAAATGTGACGGGCCAGTTTTCCCGAGTTAGCTGCTCAATGCAGCAAATCCTGCCAAGAAAGTCGGCAGGACGACCAGCTTCCGCAGCAGCACCAAAACTGCTCCACGGGAAGGGGCGAGCTGCGGATGAAGAGCGGTGGGTCTAGCAGAACAGAATAACTGGAGCCCACCCCGTCTTCCGTGGATTCCTAGGCCGCGTATCCTCTGCGTATGAGGAGGGGGGCGAGGACAGGGGGGTACCACAGCATTTTCCCCGAGTGTGTCTGAGCGATGAACCCGAAATAGCATGAATTCGGCCTTTTCGAAGGCACCGGCGCCGCAGTGCATTCGCAAGCGCTGTTTACAAATCATTTTGTCGCCACGACGGTGCCCTCACAGTTAAATGTCGAAGAACAATGGAACCCGGTGCGTGTGGGTTGAATGCTGAAATTGCGCGACCAAGGAAAAGTGCTGAAATTCGAGAACACTGGGCTAGATCTGAGCTAACTGCCTCGGCCCAAGCATCGGCATTATCTTAATCCTAGGGCACGCGAATTCGAATTCACACTCGCCAGATCAAAAGCGGATTCATGCGTTCCCTTTACGAACGAAACGCGATTCATTCGCGGCACGTTGAATTACGTCGAGTCGCGCATTCTCGCTCTGGGTTCTCGAAATGCGTGATGGAGACTAAATCGTCTCTGGAGCCTCCGTGGCGGTTCTAATCCTTGCCACATCATAACTTGTTACCGATAGCAAGCCTAAAACTTGGGGGTTTCAGAATAGCCCATGCAAGAGTTTCCGTGAAGTCACGGCTGGTACTATTCGGCATCAGAATCAAACTAATTTGCGTGCCGGCTACTGGCCATTAAGAAATTGAACCAAGAAACAGAACCAGAAGAGGGGGGTCGGCGAGTTGATGCGATAATGCGACCAGTTCGTGGGCATACTCTGAAGAAAGGGCGCGAAGTTCAATTATTCCGAGCGTTGTTAGATATTCAAGAACAGGACGAAAAAAAGAGAACGTTTCGTCCGGTCGAATCGCGGCGTTTTTTTCGGTGTTCGTGCCGAGCTTCGTGCCGAGAAAAGGCGCCTTACTATTGGTGAACAGGACGAATTGCGCTCTGGGATTGGTTGAAAGTCGTCCCTCGCTCGTGCACGACAGTTCTGCGTCGGAACGGTTGAAGTTGTGGCGCGCGGGATCAGTTTCCGTCTGCTTACACTTTCCACACGGCCGTCGAGGATGGCGGACGTGTTCATTGGAACTCCGTGATATTTGGGCGGGTGATACGGCGTTAAAAAAGTGGAAGACTAAACTCACGAAGACAGCGCTTTTGTGAAAATCTTTTTTTTTTATTCGATTGTTGAATTTTGGGTGTCGTTCTGGAAACCAAGCAGTGAATTTATTTCAATAAGCATGAAAATATGATTAAAAACCTGTTGATGATTTCTCATCGTCAATGTTGTTCGAAATTATGATGAAAGTTGTTGAACGCCTTGTGCTGTATATGAACTATTCTTCGTGATGATCCTATTGTGCCATTGACTTCATCGTTTTCGAACGCTCATGCTGAACCTTCTTGTCGTTGGCCGCGCATCCGTTGACTTACTATGTGGTTTTGTAGTTCCTCAACAGGTGTGCTGACTTGATGCGGAGTGGAATTACGTGCCCATTGGTCTTCTAATGCTGATGGGTGGTTTGTGCCTTCATAGGTCTCACTTGTGACTCATCATCGGCGAGAGTTCAGAAGAGTGCACGCGCGTTCGAAGTGAAACGGTGGCAAAGGCAGTGCATTGAATCCGCTCGAAGCGGGAAATGAGTGAATAGATTTGTGAACACCCATTATTGATCCGAGTGTTTTAACGGGATACGTTGGCCAAATGATGTTCCCAACGAGCGCCGCTGCAGCAGCAGCTGCCGCAGCCACGATGAACCCTGCTGCTGCGCGTCATCCGGTGGGTTTTGATTCTCTTGAGCTGTCGTGTGGCATTTATTTCCCACGTGAGAAGCCCTTAGCTGCGGGCGTTTGCAACGTTGTGATTATTTAGTCGTGAATGCCTGAATTTGCGTGAATCCTATCCTGGATCTGTTGCAGTTGTTTCGTCCCGTTTCTGTGTCGTAGATCTCGTCCTACGCTTGAGTGAGCGGTCAGGGTTGGCAATTGGTTGAACGCAATTTAACGTCAAATTACCTTATTTCTCTGTGCGATCCGAAGTGAGAGGTTCACAGTACTGTATGTGTGCAAGGTCTTCTCCCGAAGTGTGACTGGTTTTCTAAATGTCTCGAATCTCGGACTGGGATAGGACCAACTCGACCAAGTCTTGCACTGCGAGAAAGTATCCGTCAGATTTTAAAGAAAGCTTCGATTTTAATCTTCACGTTTCCGTGTTTCCAATTTCCGTAGTTTTTCGTATTTACCGTATATGTGTTTTTTGCGGCATTTAAGTCGAAGGGAGCGGCTCAAAATCCGAGTGTTGTCTCCTATTGTTCCACTGATTCTGGAGATGGTACGTCCACACCGAATAAGTTTTCTGTTTTGGTGTCTCCATTCAATCCAGTTCACCGGCTTTCTTTTGTAAAGGTTTTGCACCTGTTCGTTGTTCTAATCAAACCGTGGCTTCTACTCGTCCGTTTTTCTGTACTTCATGGTACTTGTACACTCTTGCTGGGACCATTTGTATCGGCCGCTTGTACACGCTCCATTCGTATCGGTTGCAGTTTTCCGTCGAAAATTTAAACGTTTTCTTACCTGACAAATTCATTCTCTGACTCCCTACAATCGCTGTCAGAAATCTTGGAGCGGCCTGTTAACGCGTGCATTAGGAATATTCCTGTATTAGTTCATGTACATTTCTGTATATTTTTCAAGTTCTAGCTGAAATTCCTATTTTCAGTTTGTTTTTGTTTCGATTGAGTGTGAAGGACATACAAGGAACACTCCGAATGTAATTAAGCGTAATTCAGTAAGTTTACCAGCTGTGCTTGGATTACAGTATGTGACAGGTTGTATTGTCCGGAATCTTTACAGGTTTCAGAGAGCAGCGAAAAATTTTTGGAGATCTTTCTTATAGTTCTGAGAGAGTTTTGGATGAGCAGTAATTTATTTTCGTTGATCGCTTTATACAGCCCCAATGAAGATACTGTACGATGAATCATTCATCATACGGACGCGGAAGTATTCCCGCTATTCCCAGTTTTTTGTTCGATGCTGAACTCGCTTGATGGCTCATGAACCGGTATGTAAAGAATCCGTGGACATGGCTTGGCCGTCTTCTTGGCTAGAAATAACGAAGTTTGGCACCGCTGGCTGCTATCGTGGGTTTTAACTCATTTTAAGTATTCATGAGGCAATTATTTATCCGACAAAATGAGAAGCGGTACTTCTACTGGTAGAATTTTGTCCGATCGTCCGCGCTGTTTTCTCACGAGCCCCGTCTTGGAGCTTATCTCGGAAGACGCATCCCTCGAGGAAACGGGTCGTCGAAACTGATCTTACGCAGCTTTACGATGTTACTCTGTGCTCTTACTGTGTCGAATAACTTTGCATTTCTCAGCGCTTTATTTGTATCCCTTCATGCTCATTGTTTCATTCGTACCTCCCAGCAACGTAGCTCTTTTAATTGAATATAGCTGAGAATTCGTGGGTCCTCATCATTAATTCAAGGCTTATCAGCGCCGGTTGCACTTTTTCGCTGTAGAATTGAGTCTAGGGGTGAAGCGCAATCCCAAACTGATCTTCGCTTCTCAGGAGGCTACTACCTTGTGCCTCGGGAAAGTAATAATACTGCATCGGAAACATAGGAATAGACCATGAGCTCGATATCTTCCATGCTGCGTGTGCATTCTGTGATTTCATTCTTTTCGTGGCTGTTGCTGAGTGACGAGTTGCCCCCAACGGTTTATGAGTAGTCGAATCTGGTACAATATGTAAATCCGCGTTTTTTTCTTTGACTTCTTCCAACTAGACGACTATTTGTTTCGCCATTCGACTTTGATCTTCATCTAATGTAACAAGATTGTTTTCCTCTAAATGATCATATGGGCGTTCAGAGAGCATAACGGTACGATATCTTGTTCAGCCTCTGTTGGCTTGGGTGTGCTCGCATATTTATCTTGTTAACACTCGCGCAGTACATAACCCGCAACTCCTTGAGGCTTGTCATGTTACTTGGAACTTTGGAATTGCATCAAATTTCTTACCCAAACTCTCGTTCGAGAATTGGCATTCGCAAGTGCAAGAGGAGCTTTTGCTTGTCGATATCCCTTGCGCAAAGCTCATGCTATGAATAGTACAAATAGGTGTGAATGTCCAGTCCTTCTATTTCATTAGTGGTTCGAGCCGTTAAAAAGAACTGGGATGAGGTGGTAATTATGGGGATTGGTCAAGCAACTCTTGAGGATGAAATTTCTCAACCGCCCCCCGTGTAACGTGCTTGCGGCAAGGATCGTTTCGACGACGTATTGTCGGCGATGTTGACTGACAGTAATCACGGCTGTGGGTTTTCTTGCGGTAGGTGCCTGGTGGACCGCAGCCGACGCAACCGTTCAAGTTCACAGTCGCTGACTCCTGCGAGCGGATAAAAGACGAGTTCAACTTTTTGCAAGCACAGTACCACAGGTGAATCGAAAACTTCGGTGTTTCCGGGCTACTTTGCTTCCGCGGATGTTTCATGCAACTTTTTTCGGTTTCCGCAGTTTGAAAGTCGAGCTGGAGAAGTTGGCGCAGGAGAAAACGGAAATGCAGAGGCATTACGTCATGGTGAGTATTTCCGCTGCGCCGGGCACCGGTGGCGCCGGCACGGTGAATTCCGTACGAGACCCAGTAGTCTCCCGTTATTTACATTAAATAACTGATGCGGCGCCGCGTAAGTGTTCGCGTTCGGCTCCGGCGGTACTTCCGATTTGCATAGCCCCGAGTTTTTTCAACTATTCATTCGGATGCAATTATTTTCTCCTCTGCAGTACTACGAGATGTCTTACGGCCTGAACGTCGAAATGCATAAGCAGGTTAGTGGGCTTCTCTATTCACACTTCCGTCGAGGCGCAATTTGGCGGGGAGTTGCAACGTTCGGTGCGGCAAAGTGCTTAGTTTTCTCTTTCTTTTGTGCTGTGCCGCGAAGGTTGGTTAAATCCAGTGAAGTATTGCTATAATGCTCGCCGACACCCTGGAGCCAATTCGTGGACTGAATTTTATTTTTTATTCGAATTTTCTCAAGGAGAGAAATCTCGAGCGTCGTGGGAGTTGCTCTTTTAGTACCGTATAAAATAAAGGTACAGCATAAAACTATCCTTTTGTTCGAGAAATTAAAACTTGCATACGGATCCGAATAATACAGTTTTCAGAATTCTTGAAAAAATACTGCGGTGAGAAAGAGCCCAGATGCTCTTTTAGCTTTTTGGTTCTTGTCATCGATGGTTTGTTGTTACAGTATAGGATTATTTTTTCGCCCGTCGTACAGTGCCTAAATGCGACATGCCTGAGGGTTGTCAATCAGCTGCTGATGATATGAAATGAATGCGTAGTGTCCAGCATATTGAACGAAAATTCCGTGCGCAGGTGTGGAGACCGTGCGATAATGGTTCTAGTTTTCTGGAATTCCATAACTTCAACGATGAGTACTTGAATTCCCTTTTCTGATGATTTGAGACTGACTCGTTGTATAAGTTTGGAGGAAGAAACGAGTTTCCTGCGAACGATACGCGCATGTATGATGGGTCTTTCAGAACGACTGATTATGAGATAAAAGGTATTAGTGTTTCCGATTCTGTTCTTCAATTGATAGTTCGAGGGTTTCACGTTAGGCCTACAAAATTCGATGCCTGGAAGTACAACTTGGCTGTCGATTCCAACGAAAGATTCGCAATGGTGACGGTCTTGTGCGAGTGTTTTTCACGCAGCACGGATATTGGTTGTTCTGTGAGAATACTCTTGAAGCAAGAAGTGGTCATTCTTTGAAATTTACGAATAAATCTAGACCTTGATGCGAGTGAACCACAGTGCGCTAGTGCTGATCGAGAAGCTCCATTGTCGTCCCTTTCTAATGAGCTATTCGCCAATGGGAAGAACAATTCTAGGGTCTAACCGCGAACAGCTGAAATGTTTCTCACGTTGTCCAGCCTTTAATCCTCCGTTAGTTTAATGATTGTGTGTGGCTCCGAAGGCGTTAGAAGTTCTTTCAATTTATACGAATGACCGCATTCAGGTGCTCGAAGGTAAGGTCGAGACTGTCCCGTAGACTGAAGTTGAGTCCTTGGTATTTGTGTGAAACCGTTCGCTAACTTCGTGAGGGATTCGTAAGTCAGGATTATCGGAGCTCCATCGAGTGAAAAACGAGAGCGACTTGCTGTATTCACTCGTTTACCACGCGCTCTTCATCTAATTTTTTGCTTGCGTCATGCTTGGATGAAACTTGAGATGGGTCCAAAGAAAATTTCGTCTGATTTATTCATGATACGTGGTTTGCGAGGCCTGAAAGTAAAGACTGTGGGAGTATTTTCTCTTGAGGAAACTAGGTATGGACAATGTTCGTTTTCGGTAGTCCAAAGCGAAATTTATTTGTCGGAAGCATATTGACGCGAACGAATATTCGAAAAGTTTCTTGAGTTGACTCCGTGTTTTGAGGGATCAGCGTCTGCTATTCTTTGGAAGCGCTCAAGTTATTGATCCGTTTTCTTTTCCGACGGTGATTCAATTGAAGATCGCGATCAATCACCGGGGAACGAAGGGTCCGATTGTTCACGCAGAATTTGTTCAGGATGAGAATGATAGGATTCAAATTTTCCGATTTTCCTGCCTTTCCCTGGAGCAGCCCATCGTCTTACGGTAGTTTCGTGTCGTAAGATACAGTATACCGCTTGAACAAAGCGCCGAATCCTGACATCAAATCGTTTCGCATGAAATTATTTATTCGTTGCGTGCGCTTTCCTGTTCGCGGTTTCTCGCGAGGGGTGATCTGCTGTTAGGTTCCCGCTTTCAGCCCGCTTAATTTCTGCTCATGTCTGCTGGTTCGCATCGATTCTATCGACTTTCCGTCGCGTCCGAATGTACTGCCCCGTTGCTTCTGTTGGACATGATTCACGTTCGATTCCTGTGTTCGCGACTGTCTCTAATCGGCTCGTCTTTTCTCGCGATGGATAAAATATGATCTTTGCCAGGGATACGACTTGCTTCCTTGTAGTTGAGTGCGATCAAATCACCGCAATTTTTTTTCAAGTCGAAAAGATTCCATTTCTTCAATGTGTGAGTTTTGCAGCTTTTCCATAAGCTTATGTCCGTGTTCCACATCCATAATCGCGAATAGAATTTGCATCAGCGTATTAAATTGCATATACTGCGTTGTTCCGTTCACAGCTCAGTATGATCAACTTTTCGCTACAAACTTTCTAATTATCTCTGAATGCTATTCAAGAAATCTCAAAGTTGTTATGTTTCTTGAATTTCCACGCTTTACCCATGCTTTTAATGACTAGTTGAACCATAGCCAGACACGTGCGCACATCGACCATCGTTAGGGTGAACCTTGGATTGACGCCGCCGCGAACTTCCTTGTAGAATTGTAGTGCCTCCATTACGTTTAAGCATCTCTTCAATGTTCCGCTAAAATCCTTTAAAAAATGCATGGAGATGACTCATGAATTTCGCTTCACGATAATTAATCTCGATTGTCGGATGAGCAGGTTGTTGTTATTCATCAGATCACTCACTAACCCATTCCGATGTTAGTTTTTAATTAAAGTACAACTTTTTAGTTCCGTAAGTGACTACGCGCAGATCATTCATAATTGAGTTAAACACGACTTTCCCTGGCAATTTTATTTGAAATGTTGATGAATTTTGATGAGAAAATCTTACTCCGTGATTTATTGGACAATGAAAATGGGATGGAACGCCATGTCGGGTCATTTCGCACGGTTGCCGGAAGGGAAGTGAATTATTGCCGGAGCGTCAGCACGGCGGAAGTGCGGACAGCTGCCCTGTGTCGAGGTTCATTCCTACGTTGAGGCAAATAATGCACACTGTGCGAGAAACGTGCGAACGGTAACGCATCTGAGCCATTCCGGAAATGCTGGGTAAACAAGGCGAAATCAAATCACGACTTCCCGTCGGCCCCCTTCCTCTTCATCTCGCTGTGTCGCACCCCGCCGCGCGGTCCCCGTCAGGTCGCCTCTGTGGATTGTTCCAGTGACTTGGTTCTGTCCACGTCCCCGTCGACGTCGGTTTTTTGGTCGGGGTTAATCCCAGACCGCCTCCCCCATTTCGTTTTTCCACCGCCGTTCACGGGAGCGAATTCCATTTCCGTGCTGCTCGGAATTTCTTTCCGCCACCCCAGGTTGCGGGGGCCTCTTCAATCACCTCTGCTTTGCTCGCAACCCGCGGCGAGAATCCGTCGAGATTTGATCAGCGGAACGGCGTTGCTCTTGTCGCGGCGCGATTTCCTGCGACAACACTCAAATCTTTCAGGTAGTCGACCTTCGGATTGTAGCGAATTCATTCAATCTTTCCCACTGGAACGATGCCAGGTTTTCTTTGTGCTCTCGACTAACCAGCCTGGAAATTCAAGACGTGGATATGTTTTCTGACCTCGTAGGTCACTTTTTGTAGGGTCTAAACATCATTCTCGAGTGCTACCTGACTACATTTTCAAAAAGAACTCAAATCCGTCCCCGGCGTTGTCTAACGCCTTGTTGACCCGACGATTTAGGTATTCTTAGGCGTCTTCGTCAGTTCGACTTATCCATCTGTCAACACGGTATTGCAGTCGTGCAAAATTTAGAAGTACGACTCGTTTTCGCGAAGGTTTTCCGAAAGCATGAATACAAATCTTGTGCACGTTTATTCACTCTGGTAAATGTCATGAACTCTGCTATCACAGTGCGTAACTTTTGCTTTTACATGTCACTTGGACGATTGTTGAAACAATATCAATGCGGGTGTCCATGCTGTCGTTATTTCAAGGTTTTATTTTCTGGATGCCTATGCTTAGGGTCTTTCTGTTGCAGATATCCCTTCACGGATCCGATTTGTTGACGAGTGGTGGCTCCTATCAACAAGGAGTGGGCTGCTTGATTAATGAGCCACGTATGAATATAAGCAGGTCCAAACGAAGGGGTTTCCTAGTTGTGAGAGAAAGAAATGAGGGTGTCCCTGACGCTGAGAGGAGTTGTCAAGTTCAATGCGGTTTGTTTTCGCCATTATTTTTGGCAAGCATTTTGCGAGAAGGCGTCGTGGTGGGGTAACCCGAGCCGAAGTCAGCTGACATATGGGCCCAGATGTCGTTTTCCCCCGCCAAGTTTTCTCTTTTCGTTTTCTGGATCAGCACGCGAAGCCCAGGCGTGGTATTTATGTTGACGTCGACGCGGGAGAGATAATTCTAGTCCCGCGGGGAGGGGGGTCACCCGCTTTCGCTTGCCGTGATTTCCTGGCTGTCGGGGAAATATTTGCGGTCCCCAGCGTTCTGTGCTATCCCGGTATTGTTGCGGAAACCGCAATGTGGCGCTCGTATTTTTTTCTGATTTCTTCCTCCCGCAGGTTTGCGGTCGAACCTAATTCCGGCGGCGCGCTGTTTTCCCTCTTTACCGCCCACCCGCACTCCACTACGTCATACTTTGCTCTGCTGGTGCATTCCATAACTCGATATTGCGGTTTCTTGTCCAGTCGGGGCGTGCGGCGCATCCCTCGTCGGCTTTCACTGGTTCGAGTCTGTGCCCTGCTGTGAAGCGTTGCCGATTCCCCCCCCCCGCCGAGCATTCTAGTCCGTGACCGATCATTAGCCTCTTGGATTCTGACCGAAAAAAACTGCGTATTCGTAGGGTTTGTGGTCGCCGCCGGTCAAGTACCGTTTTCGCATTTGCGAAACGTTCCGTATCTTCCTTCTCTGTCCAACTTGCGTATAAAATGCAACTAATGAGCAGTGATGGGGTTCGCGAAGAGCTTCCCGCGTGTTCCCAAGAAAGCATCTATCAATTCTGCCATCAGCGTTCAAATCGGAGGTTGAGCTCGATTGAAT